CTTTTCTTTACATAGACAAGTGTGGTTGAAGAAGCTTTTTTTTTTTTAATAATTTTTTATTAATTTCAGATAGAGTTCTGTTTGAATTTTGCATTATGTTTATACTTTTTAAATGAAAAAGACCACTATCCCAGTTTTTGGTCTGTTATTTGTTGACCAGAAACTTTCAGGGACTTTTCTTCCTCCACTCCCATAATTTCTAAATACATTCGTATAATTATTTGCAGTAACACATTTTATCTATTTTATTATAAATAGTTATTTTAGTTTCAAAAATAGTTAAATTTTTAAAAACTGGTCAAATTTAAAAATTAATTAAATTTTAAAATAATCATTTAAACAGATAATTATTTTAGTTTAAAAAAAGTTACTAAAAATAAAACGTGTACACAAAAAAAAAAAGTGAACCCCTGGTATAAATAAAAATTGACATATGATTATTTGATCTGAAAATCTTTGATTCTAGAATTATTTTTTTTATGTTTTTAAACATGATTTTCATAACAGTTTTGAGAACAAATTTTTCGAAGTGACAATTTTTTTTCCAAAACGAATTTTATTTTAGAATTAGTTTGTGTTAAATAGGTTTTTAATCCTGATAAAAATTAAGATTAGTCTTTTTTTTTAAATTTTGAATTAATTTAATTTCTTATTTTTAAAATACCGTAAATTTAATATTTTTAATCAATTTTTATTAAATTTATTTGAAACATATATTTTTAAAATAGGTATAAAATGTCAAATAAATTTAATAAATTTTAGTTAACAAGATTAAATCTACGTATTTTTTTAAACTGAAAGAGTAATTCAAAATTTTAACGAAAATTAAGAAATAAAAATATATTTATTTATTTATTTATTTCTTGCACGGTATGTAACTATGATAACATAGGGGAAGATATAACAGTTGGGACTGTGACAATGGTACGAGGTGACAGTAGTTTAGTTTTCTAATTAGTAATATAGGGTGCATTTAGTAATACTTGGGTGTTGAAAGAATAAGTTTATGATCCAAAAAAGTGGTTTGGCCCATAAAAAGGAGAATTAGACGCATATTGGGCCGTGACAAAAAATAATGAAAACCGTGGGCTGAATTGTAATTACAGAGATTTCATCTTCCTCACTAGCCATCAGCATTAGGTCTGGTCGTTTTATAATTGATAATTACAAACATCAAGCTGTAGAGTAGCCCTAGCAATAGAATCTTCGTTCCTGCACCAGTTTGGACGGATCGGGGTCGGGGGATTAGGGTTTTGAATTTGATGGGTACGGAGAGAAAGAGGAAGGTGAGCTTGTTCGACGTGGTAGATGATTCTCTAGCGAAGAAGGCGAAATCAAATGGCGGCGCCAATAACAGCGTTGCCAATGCTCTCATCAATCGCTGGAACGCAAGGCCTTACTCTCAGAGGTACTTCGATATTTTGGAGAAGAGAAAAACCCTCCCTGTTTGGCACCAGAAAGAAGAGTTCTTACAAGTTCTCAAAGATAACCAGACTTTGATTCTTGTCGGTGAAACTGGTAGTGGCAAAACCACTCAGGTTTGTTTTGTCAACTTATTTATATTTATAGATTGGTTATTTGGTAGTATCATAATGTCTTGTAGCGTGTATTAGGCATTTTTTTTTTGTTTTATCCTGATAGACAAATGTTAGGACGAAAAATGTGTTGTCTAGGTTTTACTATGTGTGCATGTCGCTAATTAATGAAAGGTTTATTTTTTTGTTTTGGGGTCGCAGATTCCTCAGTTTGTTTTGGATGCTGTCGAGTTAGAGACACCAGACAAACGTAGGAAGATGATGATTGCGTGCACTCAGCCTCGGAGAGTGGCTGCGATGTCTGTTTCGCGTCGTGTGGCTGAAGAGATGGATGTAACCATAGGGGAAGAGGTTGGTTACAGTATCAGATTTGAAGACTGCAGTAGTGCGAGGACAGTTTTGAAGTATGTTTAGCTTGCTATTATATTGTTTTCTATTATTAACAAGTCCCCGTTGGTCTGTGTGTCTTAAAAACATATTAGGCTCTTAAAAGATAATCATGCCTTAAGAGTCTGTTTGGTTCGACTCGGAGGACGGGAGGGATTTTAATTAGATATTTATGTTTGATAGAGAGGAGGGAGAGGAGCATTTTAATGTGGGGAGGGGGTGGGGGTTGAGAATAGCTCTGTTTTTGTTTGGTTCACAAGGGAGTGGGGAGGGATTTTAAAAATGAATTTACTTTCATACGTTATAATTTTGATGCTGATAATGTAAATAGATTCTCTTTTCAGTACAATTGTCATGTTTTAAAAATAACGCACCCTTCCCTCCAAATCCCCCAATATTGGATAAATTTAACCAAACATAAAAACTTTAAACCATCCTCCCTTCATTTTCCTCCAATCAAAACTATATAAAGGATTAATCATTGGCTCTTGTTGATACTACGGCATATTTATTAGTTCTAAGTTTGATATGCCCTTGTTAGCTTTCGTTTTCCTTTCTGCATTGTTTCATCCATGCTCACATGTGATTGCACAGGTATCTAAACAGATGGTAATGCTCTAATGGAAGGCAATGACATATCCGCTATTGGAACGGTACCAGGTTTATTATTCTGATGAGGATCACGGAGGACATTGGCCCACTGATGTTTTTATTTGGCCTTCTGAAAGAATTGCTTAACATAGACCTGACTTTGAAGTGTGTTATGATTGCTACTCTTGAAGCTGAAATTTTCATCAAGGCTATTTTTTTGGTGAGCCTCTCATTAAAGTTCCTGAAGGCTACATCCTTTGAAATTTCGAAACAACACACAGGAACTGAAAGGGATTATTTGGAGGCTGGCATTAGACAGTGGTACAATACACATGTTGTGA